CTTTAACTCAAGTAAGTGAGTACTTTTGCCATCTCTGATACCTATTATTTATCCGACGTTTTAACTCTGGTTTGCTGCCATAACCAGAAACAAAGGGAGGAACCGGGGTTAAGGGTCTTGCTCATGGACTCTTTCAAACGGAAGCGAAGCCTCAGCCTGACCTTGCGTCAACCTGCTATTCTCCAAACCTGTAGGCCACCACTCCTCCTCTAGATCAAATCAGATTATATTATCGTGTCTTCTTCACAAGCTGTTGTTCATCTAAGGTCAGATTAAAGAATATTTTATATCCTCATGAACCATAAAATCAGAAGGTTCTTGATTGATTTGACTGGTTCCTGTTTGACATGGGGAGAACCTCCAGAGACGTGACGTAACCTGAGCCGTCTCTCTGACGTCTCCATAGTTTTAGTCTTATCAGTTCACACTCAGAGCTAAACACGGATCCCACGGTGGCCAAAAAAACAAAGCCTGGAATTCTGGGTCGCTCACCTCCGACGGGCCGAGCCAGAATTGTTTACATGAGCAGACAGGAAAAGGCTGACCTGGGTTTGGCCTGAGGTATAGTGATCACGGTCTCATATGCACGCAACAACCCTGCAGGGGTCACATAGCTCCTCTGAGACCTTTATCGGTTTTCCTCATGCGGAGCAAACACTGTAGAGCTGAGATGGTTCCACGGTGGAAAACCGGCACAGCTGGGATGTCAGAGTTTATTTATTTCTGCACAGCTGCTTATTGACAGTCAGCTCACGAACTCACTGATGAATGAGACAGAATCTCTTCTCAAAATGTTTGGTCTGTATTTTTCCACTTTACACAGACATCAAACATTAACAGCTTTTTTTCACAGTAAGAAAGTTAAAGTCAAACCAGAACTTGACTCCGTGACCTGTGTGTGCAGGTCTGTGGGGTTTGGTCAACAACGCCGGAGTGTGTGTGAACTTCGGAGAAGCAGAACTGTCCCTGATGTCCACCTTCAGAGGCTGCATGGAGGTGAACTTTTTCGGCACGGTGGACGTCACCAAGAGCTTCCTGCCGCTGGTGCGACAGGCCAAAGGACGCATCGTCAACATCTCCAGCCCCGCAGGTGTGCAAAACACTCATCATGCATTTGGTAAAATGCTAAAAAAAACTGATTCCTTCATTTTCACAGTTATGACCTACTTCCTGTTGCTTTGTCACATCTCACCCAGAAGCTTTTTTTAGGCCGTATCGTGAGAGAAAGTGAAAGAGTTCAGCGGGAGTAAAAACAGGATTCATAACCGCTATAGAATCCTTCCCCTGCCAAGTCAAACAGACAGAACCAGTCCAAGTCAAAGACTACGTGATCCAAAGCAAATAGAATCATTCAAAGACAATCATCCTTTAGGACCTGAAACTTCTGACTTTTTCCATCCAGCAGAGTGTTTTTTCCTATGAACCCAGTAAAACCACCACTCTACTGGTTCAGCATCTCATTGGACCATCTACCTGTGTCTTCCAGGTGACCAACCGTTTCCATGCCTGGCTGCATATGGAGCGTCCAAAGCAGCTTTGAACCTCTTCACTGAAACCCTGAGGCATGAGCTGAACCCCTGGGGGGTCCGAGTGAGCACCATCCTTCCCTCCTCCTATAAGACAGGTGAGCCCTGACCCCCCTCCCACATTATTACACCTCATCTAAAGATAGATCATCTGCAGGTTCCCAGCAGGCCTGGTTTTTTGGTGAGTTCATGAGTTAGAAAAGAAAATAACATAATAAATGGATGTGGGGAGCTCCCCCTGCTGGTCGTCATGTAGTTCTACTTCAAGCTGTAGCTTATTCATTCTATTCCCAGTCAACAGCTGAGGCATTGAAGGAATAGTACACCCAAAACATGATTAGCCTTCATTTTCTACTCACCCCCATGCTGAACAACACTCTGGAGTACTTTTTT